AGATATAGGAAATTAAGCAAAAAATTAAACTAACAGAGCCTTCTGCCCTAAAAAGGGGAAAATATCAGAAGCAGGACGGTTTATCTATATCCGTTGAAGTGTTACTGTACTACTGATGCATAGTCTCGAAGAACAGTAATGGACTAGAAAATGTTTCACTATAGTTAGAGTTAGCCTGTTCACAGACCCTTTATTTTCTATTTTCTCTTCAAAGTCCGTCGAGCGCGGGTGATAAAATATAAACCGCAGGGGATTTATTGACCACCAGCGAAGGGGGTAGTGATTCTCGCGCGCTTGCTTCGCTCGCTGATGTTTTGAAAAGAAAAATAAAACAACGTTTGTGTACAGGCTAAGTTGGAGTTTGGTAGATTGTTCCAGTATTTTCCAGTTATGTCACTAACTATTACACATAAATTGTTGTACATTGTTCTTTTTTTGCATGGCCTTAGAAAGCTAGATATATGTGAAGGTGAGGACCATTAACCAACTTGTATCAGTATAAACTAGAGAAAGTGCTATAAACAACATTCCTCCGATGCTCTACTGAACATATAGAGGCCGAGGCTAAGTAACTCTTCATAGCTCTTAGTATTTCCTGCATCCAACAAAGTTTCTTACTTTTCAGTCCGCTCCGTGCCCGATATTCCAAGTGCGGTAGGACACAAAGCTTGATTAATAGTGCATGCAACTGTTATCAATATATTTTCCTAGTTTTGCCACTGTAGCTAGGAGGCCAACTGTATATGAAACACTTGTGCATGAAGGCAAAACCACAACGACAAACCAGTGAGGGTCAGCTGGATATTTAGTAGGCCTGGATCTGTAAAATCTTCAGTATCAAATTTTAAAATAAGAGCAGTAAACTGATCCTTAAGGCAGGAAGAGTGATTTGAAAAATAAAGAAAGAAAACAAAAATAAAATGGTGAATTATATTTCCCTGATATTTCGGTTTGCAACACAAACCTTCAATGGGGGATATAAAAGCTACTAAGGCCCATTTCATAGTAGTACTAGTGTATATTTAGGATGGATTTGTAACATACGCCAGTATAGCCGTCGCAGAATGCATTTAATACTACTGTACCCGAGTCTAAAGTTCTTTTATTATATTTAACCTTAAAAATAGAAAGAAGGCGTTCAGTAGTTTCAAATGCCCGGATTGCGCTGATACCGATTTGACTTTTCCATCCTACGCTTTACTGATTGGCCTGAAAATCTGGCGCCGAAAAATACTTTCCCGCGTTTGAAGCCGGCTGCTTGTGTTTGGCACGATATCTGTTTGGGATTGGTTCATATCTATTTTTTTCAAACAAGAGTGGTAGCTGCTGTTTTGCGTTAATTAATGTCAGTTTTAAACTACAGATGAAGGTTATAAGACAAACATTCCTACGCGTATAACCTCTGAGTTGTTTGAAATTAAATTTAAGAGATTTTGATTGATAAAAGGTCTCATCAAGAACCGACGCCGTGATCCAAAATCCCCGATTTCCCGACTCAAAATTTTCCTTTTTCTTTTATTTGAATCTCTAACGTCATTCGAAATGTATCAACATCGCGAATGACGCGGGAAGGCAGGTGGATAATCGATAAACTCCAACTAAATCGGCGTTTGGTTGATTTTAGCTGAGATTCGTATACAATTTGTGATTGATAACATTAAGCTTGCGGACTTCCGTTTGTAGATTCAGTCCGCAGGCAGGTCACGTACGCTGGTTATTTCAGCTGCACACGCGAGTAGCCCACGCGATTAACCCACGGGAATGGGCGAGGAAAGACTCAAAGAGGAAAATCTTTTGTCACTTGAATCGAGTTGCTTTACTAGGGGAACCTACTTGAAAACCATATACCACAAAATGTAAGGGTATGTGGCTTATAAGAAGAAGTCAAGAAGAAAAAAATATAGCTTTGGTTATAAATAAACATTCTAAATATATAAAGATATCTAAAAATTATGGGGAACCTACTTGAAAACCATATACCACAAAATGTAAGGGTATGTGGCTTATAAGAAGAAGTCAAGAAGAAAAAAATATAGCTTTGGTTATAAATAAACATTCTAAATATATAAAGATATCTAAAAATTAAAAGCTATATTATTCGCGTTGGACTTGTACTTATGGACCAGCAGCTGATGACTAGTAGAAATTAGCAAATAACGTAATAATTCAACGTCAATAGTGACAATCTTATTCCATGGATGTTTTTTTAGGGCCGGTGTGATCCATCTCTTACTGACTTTTTTACAAGCGAGACCCTTCTTTGACGCCTTAGAATACTTATGATAATGTATTTTGGGTTATGATAAGGCAGGTACGTCGACCCTCATTGAAGCCAGTATTGCAACAACAAATCGTTAGACTAACGTGTAAATTCCGGTATTCTCCTTAATTGCTAACAAACTGCTGAAAGGCTCTTTACCCAGGCTTAAAACATTTTTTTTAAAGCACGGGAAACTGTGATAAAATGGTATGCCCTAATTTGTTTTTTTAAAAATTATATTTCAACCTGACGGTCGCATAAGTCGCTTACTGATTTATATTGAGCTTGGCAAAGTTTCCCGGTTTTAAAAGCAATCGAAATTACCTCCCGCGAAAGGCATAGCAGCGGGAAACAGCTGTGTGAAACGGTATGCTCCTATGAAGCTTTTTAAAAAAATAAAAAACAACAAATTAATTACTTTTTTCCCACTAAGTTTCACCGTTTGCAACAATTACAAAATTTTTACCAATACGTCAATACTTGACTCTACATTCTTGAATAAATTATGGCTGAATTTTTAAAAGTGCTGACATAATCATGTAACAAGTTACGTCATATCTAAGCAGAGGAGTGTCAGTATTTTTCAGTTAATGATCCTACTTGCGTCTTTAAATTTCCTTCTTGATTTAGAGCGTGTTTGCAGACTCCAAATGCTTCATTCCCTGTTTGGTTACGCAAAACAGAATTCATGTCATCGCACATCACGTACATCATTGTCGCATTTTGTATATATTGAATTTTTTTTACTGTCATTCAGCAGTCAATACCTGGTACTACTTGTTTTCATTTATTCGCCATCAATACAGCTATCATACTTTCCTATTATCTGTCAAAGCCAGGTGACTTTTTCTTCCTACTCGTTCACGCAACAACGTTTCATGCTAATTGACGTGAAGTGCCTGACCGGTTCAGTGATCCGACCTGTCGGCAAAAAGTGGTTTAACCTCTATTAAACGCAGTCGGTTTAAAAAACTAAGTTGTGCACTTAAAATTATAAAGGAGCGTCGTTTCTCTTTTTCCGGTTTTATACTGGACTAACGCTGCTAATGGTCAGTATTATAAGTATTTCTAGTGCGGATCATTTTTGCTTGATGCTTTTCCAATTATAGAGGTCACAAGACCTTGCTAATGAGTTCGATTCAGTGTTTAACAGGGTCCAGAGGCTGTACTGGATGGGTTGAGAACTGGCTAGGATTTCAGCTGAAAAATTAAGTTTCGTTTTTAAACAAACTATTGGCTGAGATCTGAGATCCTAAGAAATAACTCACAGCTAAAAAATTGCGGCCGAGAATCGAAGCGATTAACCAAGATTAGAGCAGCACCACTGGCACGCCCTCATATAATGTTTGCTCCTTTAACCAGTTCATAAATCACTAAGATAACGGAGGCACGAAATTTTATCATAAATTTAATTATAGGAACCAACAAAACATTTATCGACGGTTTGTTCTACATAACCAAAACCATTTATCGGAGATAAAAGACCGAGAGAGCATAGCTTAATATATAGCGGGCCGAGAGAGCTCAACTCCATCAAAATTTAGCCAGACAATAGGGAAAAGTGGCCTCTTTACATTATTGCTAGCTCTATGCATTTTAAAGAAGATTAGTAGGAAACTTTTAATTTCTCACGACATTTGGGCGAGACGAATTGGAAAGGCAAAGATGCCATAGTTTTACTGATGCGTGATCAAGCGTGATAACCAAGGTGAATGTCAAGGGAGGTATATCTAAGTTTATTGATCGAGTGGGGTTGGTTCGCATCGTAGCCAAAAATTTTTATCCGGAAATCAAGAAGGTGCAGAGTATATTGCCTTAGTTGCGCCAGTCTGCCATTAAATTATTTATGTCTCATGTTTGTCGCCAAGCTAGAAAGTTATAACCAGTCAATTACGGTTTCTTTATGCAGCCACCCGTCAGAGAAAATTAGGGTGAAACGGGTGAAAGTTTCTGGAATTTGAAACAACCTGTGATCGGACTAAGTGGAAGGTACTAATACAATTAGTGGACAATGTAAACACTAGAAACGCACATGTTCAACAGAATGAAACAAGCAATTGACACATTCTAAAAGGCATTTTTGTTCTTGACAAATTCATACCGATGTAATTGCCCAACTGTAGTGAAACCGCACTCTTAATATATGCTTCCGGTGGCCTCGAGTGTCGAGCTTGCAAGGCAGGAAATATGATACTTCACTATGACGTGAGAGCCCGTCTATTTTATGCGAAAATTGAGACCCACTTTTGAGTATGTTCATACTCGACTAACTTTCCCCTTTTGCCATGACAAGCGCCGTGATTTTCATCGAACGACGGTCGTGATTTTTCTATAGAGAATGTCGCGTGAGGTTCCCCGATATATTAAAGCAAAGAGTTTCCAGTTCGCTGACAAAAATTACAATATAATCAAAGTTCGAAAGAATGATAACAAAAAGAATTACGCGCGTGGGCGAACAGCAGTACATTGAAGCACCTTGGCTCTTCATTGGTCAATTTTCGAGGGAAGTACTTTAGCACCATTGGTTCCAATTAATAGGCGGGTTCAACGTCACTCAAAGGGAATCATTAGCCAATCATTGTACCAAATATTATCACCCATGACAACACCGCTGACGTCACGCAGGAATCGATTTCTGATATAGCGAACTGGCGGCGTGTTGGATGAAAAATTCGCTCTCTGGAATCGCCGAGGTAGTTGTAGTGTGTCGAGTTAACGTTTTGTTTCATTTGTCGTGGCTTGGTTATGAGCGTCTTGGACGAGTCAGGGATCCTAGAGGAAAGGCGAGACAACCGTCCTCGCTCGAATACATGGCCCCTCCCAGACCCTTCGGAGTTTACAAAACCCGAACGTGATGTCGATCAGCCTAGCTTGAAACAGCTCAGCACAAGCGAGGGGCCGAAGAAAAGTTCGCGAAAAAATGCTTGGGGAAACTTGTCGTATGCAGACTTGATAACTCAAGCGATTCAGAGCTCGTCAGAGCAACGGCTGACACTGTCACAGATTTATGACTGGATGGTGAACACAGTTCCCTATTTTAGAGACAAGGGAGATAGTAATAGTTCGGCGGGTTGGAAGGTAAGCTTAAATGTCATTTCCTCGTATGCAGTCTATCTTTTGATTTGCCGTCTTTAACAGCTGACTGGCTCCCTAATTTCACTTTCGACGCATTGTATACCTAAAGTAACACAGTGCCTAACAGTGATTTTTCTCTTGTCTCGCTTTTCCTTGCAGAATTCAATACGCCACAACTTATCCCTTCACAGCAAATTCGTCAGGGTTCAGAACGAAGGCAATGGCAAAAGTTCGTGGTGGATGCTTAATCCTGATGCCAAAGGGGGTAAAACGAGTCGGCGACGTTCAGGCTCACTGGACTCTGCTCCAAAATCAGAGAAAAAGCGCGGACGATCGAGAAAGGAGAAAATTAAAGAAGAAGACGGCGACTCGCCTTCTAGTCCTCGCCTGTCAGTTAGCCGGGCGCGTGATGCAAACCGAGCCAACTCTCCGGGGAATGTTTCGCCGACTAATAGCTCGAGCTCAGATTCTTTGCTTACAATTCCAGAAACTGAATCGCCATTACCTTTTCCACTTGGTGACAGTTTTGCCAGACCGCGAACTTCGTCGAATGCCTCGACAGTCAGCAGTCTTGGTGGTCGATTGTCGCCTATACCAGCTCATGGAGATGAACTCGAATTATGCGAGGATCCTATGCCTCCGAATAATTTCAGTATGGTTAACAATCCAAACTCCGCAGCCGATGAGCTGTCGCAAATGGCTGACTCGATGACTTTGAACTCGTTTGCCGCTGAAAATAACAACAGATTAAAACAAACTTTGACGCCAGTACAACCTCAGCTACTTCCGTCCGAACCTCACAGTGACATTAGCGGCATGGCTGTATCGAACAGTATCACTTCTAGCATATCATCAAACAGCTTTGACACTGGCTACAATAGCAGTGGATATTTACAACCTATTCAACACCCGCAACAGTCTCTCAGTCCAGAGATACTCCCCCCGCAAACTATCGCCGCCCCTCAACCCGTGTTTGGTAATTTGCGATCGTATTCGCAAGCTCCGTTGCAACAATCCCATTATCAGAGGAACTTTCGACAAGAATTGTCGGCACCCCGGCAGAGCAGTACCCCTGTGAGGGTAAATAATATATACTGTGAGGACCAAGACATGGAGGTTCAACAAACTCAAGAAAATTTGTATCAGAATTTTCACGCCACTGGCTTTGCTAATAGTAACCCCTGTGTTAATGGGTTACCACAAAATCACCAGAGCTTTAATTACATAGCAGAACCTCGATACCTTCAGCAACAACAGCAGCAAGTTACACCGGCCTCGCTTATGATGCAGCAGGAAAATGGACTACATCCCTTGCACCAGCAGGGGAATCCATTCAACAGGGAATTCAGGACAACAAATAATAACCAGCTGGAGTTTATGAACGAGAAATTCCCGAGTGATTTAGAACTGGATATGGACAATTTCAATGGAGATCTGGATTGTGACATTGAAAGGATAATCTATGACGAACTAAAAGATGGTGGCTTTGATATAAACATAGAACAGTTTTTTAATCAGATACCTAATGTAGGGGAGCTACGCAGTGGTTTGTACTGATTTAAAGATTAACCTATTGTACATATACTGAGATTTTGTAGCAGAACTAATTAAGGACTACACGCTTGTTCTAAAAATGAAAGTGATCTTGTGAATCCGTCCCTTGAAGTCTGCACCTTCAGGGTCAACGACTGCCTGAATATTCTTTACTTTTGGTGTATCTGTAGAATATTGATGTCCTATTGAATCCTGTATTTGGCAGAAAATCACAGCTGAAGAATCTTCCACACCTCAGGTGTGCAGTGTAGCCTGGTCAGATAGGTGCTATGGCACATATGTGGGAATTACTTCACATCTGTGCTAAAAGATAGAGCCCTTTTGATTGCTGACATGCTTACTATTGTTACACATTTTTATTGATAATACATAAGGCTGTTGATATCGCTTTATTCTCATCTCTAAAAGCAGTATTTTAACTGTAATAATACTACAGTTATTGGAGAAATTGTTTTTGTACATGTATTGAATTACCCTGTAATGGTTTTCTTTGCCAGAAAGGTCAGAGGAATCATTCGGTTGATATAAATAAGGTTTTCCAAGTTCTCTGTTTTTTGAAAATTGTTGGAAGTCTATTTAGGTTCGACATGAGTACCAGTAGTGGCTGTTGGTCTGGGAGTTTTGATTCAGGCTTATTTTGTGTAAAACTCTGGTCACTCTAAAGTTAATGTTTTAATATATTGACAGTAAAAATAGTGTTGGTCAGTTTTGAGTGTTTTGTGATACGTTTGGCTTTGTGGCAGCAATCCTGTCTAGAAAAAGATTTGTACTTGTACATTTTATACCAGCTGACAGCATTATTTTTAAATGGAGTTAAGTTGTACAGTTTATAGAATTTTTCTTAAAGTTATTGTCCGTTTGCTGCGTGTTTGCCAAAATAATTTCTGCTCTTATGTTACAAAGGGCTGATCAACAAGTTGGTATATGTAGAAGAAGCCTATAGCTATTCTGAGAGAAATTGAATTGTATCAGGCTATAGATTCAATAGCAGTGCTTTGTAATATTGTGAATATGAATTATTACAACAGGGCAAGACTTCTTTAGAATTTAGTTATATTGGTTGCAAGAAGTTGTGGCCACTGTGTCACAAAAATTATATATAAATATACATATATATGTCAATGCTATATGCCTATATTTATGGTATTGAAGACAATAAATTATTTTCTGTTGGCAGTTTTCTCATTTATTAATTTCATTAATACCAAGGTTGCAAACTACACCACAGAAAATAATAGAATAAATACTGGCGTTTTCATGCATTTTGCTTCTTTCCTACTACAGGTGCTTGCAGTTAGGGATATTTTTTTCACATTCTATTCTTGAGGCTGTCTGTAATGTTATCTTTGAAATTCAAACAAGCACATCACTTCCATGTGCTTGCATCGTGGGTTTCTGTTGGTAAAATTTATGCAAATTCAAAGAGCTCACTAAAGGATTGGGTTATTGTCACTTTAGAATGTTACCCGCAGAGAAGACAGGTTCAATTGTTGTACTCTCCCTGAGTACAAAGCCCCCTTTGTTTTCCAGTGTCATTTAGTTCAAACGAACGATATCAGTTCGGCTGGCCCTTGGGAATATCAAATCAGCTGTCGTATTGAAGTGCCTTGATTGTCTCGATCTCGTGACTTAAATGGCAAAGCACATGAGTGTAGGTCAAGTCTGTCATGGTGTATTTTAATTCCTCGCGTTTTATATTTCTTCGCTTGCAATCAATTTCCAGTTTTCTGCGTACGTCTGGCGCGCTCATTAATGAATGTTATAACTACACATCACGTATCTTTTATTCCAAATGACCAGAGGGGACGGAAAAATGAGATTCAAGAAGGGTTTTGTGTGGTAAACGATAAGAAATTGCACCTTTTTATCCGGGCGCACTGATTGAAGGACAGACATTTCCGCTGCTTTGTCTTGTAGTCTTTGTTTTGTTGGGTCACGCATGGCTAAAACCACGCTATATCTGTACATGGCTGTGTTCTTTTTTGTACTAATTACTTCATACCTGGAGGGGCCCAATATCAACCGAGCAATACATTCGCAAGGAAGGGGAAACGCAGGCTATTTGTATTATAAAAAATCGCGTCGGAAATATTTCACCTGATGAAAGAAAACATTAGCCTTTCGAAGGTGAAGTTCTCTTCCTTTTTAGCTGAAGCCGCTTATCTGCCGTAATAACAAGCAAAATATAATGGAGTTCTTACGTAACTAGTCAAATATTACATTCTACTTGCTTTTTTCGCTGCATCTTCGCGCGCGGGAAATTCCTTGGCAAACTGTGCAATTGCGTGAGTGTTATCATGATTTTTGTTAGACGTTTTTCCAGCAGACTTGATCTGAGAAAAAAATGGTCCGATTCGGGATAAAAGTAACACTAAAGAAATGTTAAAGATTATCAAAAGTTTTTTTTTTCCTCAGACAGTTTTTGCTATGTCCTGATTATCTTAAATAAATATGACAAATTGCAGTCATTGCATCAGATCTAAAATACACCTGATACCCCTGTCAAATGACANGCCCAATATCAACCGAGCAATACATTCGCAAGGAAGGGGAAACGCAGGCTATTTGTATTATAAAAAATCGCGTCGGAAATATTTCACCTGATGAAAGAAAACATTAGCCTTTCGAAGGTGAAGTTCTCTTCCTTTTTAGCTGAAGCCGCTTATCTGCCGTAATAACAAGCAAAATATAATGGAGTTCTTACGTAACTAGTCAAATATTACATTCTACTTGCTTTTTTCGCTGCATCTTCGCGCGCGGGAAATTCCTTGGCAAACTGTGCAATTGCGTGAGTGTTATCATGATTTTTGTTAGACGTTTTTCCAGCAGACTTGATCTGAGAAAAAAATGGTCCGATTCGGGATAAAAGTAACACTAAAGAAATGTTAAAGATTATCAAAAGTTTTTTTTTTCCTCAGACAGTTTTTGCTATGTCCTGATTATCTTAAATAAATATGACAAATTGCAGTCATTGCATCAGATCTAAAATACACCTGATACCCCTGTCAAATGACAAGACATTCCATTAAGGCTTATACATAGAAACCCAGTATTGAGAGCCTGCAGTACTCTGGAACACATTCGCGTCCAGGACATGCTCATTTCGAAAATGTGACTTCGCGCGCGAAAGTCGGCAGAAAAATATCTTTGTTTACGTCTGTTTTTTCGCCTGCATACTGCCGATCTGTCAGAAAATGATCGAAGGCTGCATAGTGGCAAAGCTAGTACTAGGTAAGTTTATAAACTGGTCGAAATTAACAGACGGGATGGGTGTTTGATGTCGAATATCGAAGGATCGGAATCGAAAGCGGTGCTAGAAGTTCGTAGCTTCAAAGCTTGATAAATCAAATCCCTAATTGTATACAGCATACACATTTTTATCAACAGCGTAATCGATGATTTCACTCTGCTGATTTTGCTACCTTAATTCATGTTTAAACCGAGGTTTATTCATGGTCATTTAAGCTTAAGTCACCCATGATATTTTTGTAACGTATCACACAGAAAATACCAAGCTTACACTACTACCTGCGACTAGACCAGAGTAAAGCCTGGTTCTCATATGCCGCCAATGTATCTGCGACGTAGCCGCCAGTACCGCCTGGGACACTTCTCGGACGAATGAGAACATGCGCCGCCGGCAACTAGAGCTATTGCAGAGCTCAACCGCCGGGATGCCTGTGACGTTGAACTTGAGTCAACTTCGCAGGCATGCCGGGGGTGAAGAGTGGAATGAGCAATGTTGCCGGCCCCTTCTGTTCTCATATCGGAACAGTATCCCAGGCAGTACCAGTGGCCATGTCGCAGGTGCATTGGCGGTGTATGAGAACAAGGCTTAAGAAGCAGTAAGCTTATGTAATCGTAAATTAAGCTTATGTTTATTGCAACAGGGAAAGTAATAACATCAATGAATTGGGGTGAATAAAAATATTATCGAGTGATGTATGAATGCAAAGAGGCCACCAAAGCTAAGGCACTGTTCCCATAACAATAATCACTACAATAAAATTAAATTCATTTCTTTGATCAAAGAGAAAGACCAGGAATTGTACATAATCTATCACACATAACATAGCAATTGGATGTTGCTACAATTAGTGGACTAGAGACACCTGATAGCCTGCTTTACAGGTGTTATTTTTCCGCTTTTTTTCGGGCAAGTGAAGGCAAACGCAAAGTGAGCGAGGAGTGCCAGACAAGTAAGATGGGAGAAGGTGTAGAAAAAATAATGCCTGTCCACACACCATTGTTTGTGCTCCTCCGACGTTCATGTGGTGAATATAGCTGTCCATTTGGCTAATTGATATGAAACGGTAAAATGGTTTTGGTAGTACACTTTCCAGATGATTCTTTTGTTTTTCTTCTGTATTTGTTTTTTACTGTGCAGTGTTATATCACAGCCATTGGTTGCTGAGTCAATATATTAAAGTAAATATATATGAGTTGTTCTGTCCGATCAGCCCGATCACTCCATGAAATATCCTGGAATTGTCACTCTCTTTGTAATACAGGCAAGTTTTTTTTTTACTTTATTCAGGGATCAATAAAATAGGTGGCAGCTGTAATCAGGTTTATCAGGAGCTGATTATCGGCTCCCAGTTTTATCAATAGCCCTGTCGATAGCTTAGCTTATCACTGTACAAGACAATCTCCTGATCTCAAAGACTCCAAACGGCTACTGGGCTTAAATGTCTTTAAAAAAGCCTTGAAGATTGAGGCTTCACTCGCCAAACATCTGATATTCTGCAACTACTGAATAGTAATTAGTACTTCAAATTTTCTTGAGATAAAGAAAGTAAACATGGCTGTTTTGTTTCATCAGCAATTTGACCTTTTTGAACTTTCTTGTTAGTATACATTGTTCAAACGTTGTGATTGGTTCTTCATTTAGGGGGGTGTCAGGGGCAGAAGAGCACAAACAATAGTGTTTGGACAGGCTTTACTTTTTCTGTGCCTTCCCCCGTTTTGCGTGTCTGGCGCTCCTTGCTCGCTTCATGCTTGCTGTCGTTGCCCGACAAACGGAAAAAAACGTCTATTATGCAGGCTACTATGTGATTGCTGTAATCACTAAACCATCCTTAGCAGCTGTAGCAATCACATGGAAACAGGGCTTAAACATAAGAGAATTAAAGGCTTCTTTGTGCTAGAGTGACTCTGGTTGTTAGATTGAGAGTCCTTAGCAAACCTGGAGTGGGTACTCCAATATATTTTGGGAACATAATGCCAAAATGGGCAAAAATGATACCCTATTTAAGGATTCAGACTCTCAAAAACCATACCCTATGAGGTGGCATGTGCGCTCATCTCTGAGCTGCACTGTACCTATGTAGTCCATATACGAGAGTTCCTCCCCCTGCCCCCCGGGTTAGTAGACCACCCTTTTGCAATATTGTAAAGTACAGGCAAAATTCTCAGTGTGTTCTATTTATTATTTGGGAATGACTTTTGTTAATGCAGAACAGATTGATCAGGATTGTAGGAATTAAAATGCCACTTAAATTTCGTATTGACTGTTGTAATATTTCTATGGTAGCCTTGTTCCAAGTAAGGAATGCTGATTGGTATATGATTGACACTAAACCATGATTTGTTGATTTTTGGGAGTCTTGATGTGTCTGAATATTTTGACTGTAATAGTGCACTACTATGGTTTTTCACTACTGCCTTTTCTCATGATGAGAAGGTCCGAAATCTTTTGACAAAGTGGATCATTTTGCTTCTTAGGATATGCCGAGTTTTCTTCTGAATTCCTTGCTTTCTAAGGATGTTAGAATTACCTCTGTTAAGTGCGAATATGTGGGCTAGGAAAAATAAAGGTGCCCAGTGCTTTTAGAACCTGTAAAATCCAAGACATCTAGTATATGAGTTTAGCTGAGCCCTTCCTCGTACCCCCACGCCCCCTCAACATAATAATATTATTGACTTTCCTGGTCACATCTTATCGTCTTTAACTGTGTCTGGTTTTATGAAATTGGCTGTTCAGTGATTTTTTTACCTCTGCATCCTGTGTCACTGACGCATAAAAATCCCCAAAGAAGCAAGGAGGCGAGATGTAGGAGGCAAAGATTGGTCGATCGATCGATCTGAAGATGTTTTTGTAGAATATCCTGTTTGTGTGATTTCTGTAGCTGTTATTGTGCTGTTGTTAAACGACGCTTATTTCTTTCAGTCTTTGTTGTGCTAATACAATAGAAGGACTATATTTTTTTTTTCAGTAAACTGATATAAAGAATTTTGGAGTCTGTCTTCAGATTAACTGTGTGGTTACAAAAGACCCAGCGACTCCTTGTTTTTTGAACTGGGACTCAATGGTTCTAGACAGGGACTCGTACTTTTTCAAAAGACGAGTCCCAGGACTCACCATAACTATTTGTAACAAAATTACTTGGGGCTGTTCTTCCTTTTGTCTCTGCCTTGACCAATGTGGCATGATTAAATGTGCCAGGGAGCTGAGTGCCACCCTGTGAGCAGTCTCCTTTTGTCTTTTTGAAGGAGAACGAGAAAAAGAGGCTCTGCCTGAATTGAATCAAGCCATGGAGGTCGCTACAGCTCAAACTTCTGGACTAGTTAATCATGTTTTCTCTCGTCAAACTGGTCTTTTTGAGCATGAGCATCTGTTTATTAATAAACTGACGGTCATAATCGAGCCTGCTATAGCAAGCACATGGCTATTAGGCCTGGGTTCAGAACTATATCCTATGTATAACAACATGTCGCGTATGCTCAACAAAGATTTTACTCAAGTCTTGCTGAGTCTTCCTCAAGTACACTAAAATCAAGCAAGCGAAAGAAAGGCTCTGCTGGTGGGTTGCAGGTGGCAGAGCTTGATTAGGGAGATTGAGACACACCGGCCTCATTACTGCAACAAGGTGTCAGCCCAAAAGGAAGAACTGGCATGAAAGACCAGGGCTGGAAAGGTTAAATAAAGATGTAATGTACACTGCAAACTGTTATTCATCTTACAAAATTATTA